CCCCCCCCCACCGGCCCTCAGGTTTGTCTTCACAGACAATCTATTCATAACTTCATATTGACGTTGAACCTCTTCCATTGGGAAAAGTCCCACGTCAATGGCGCCTTGCTCCTAAGTGTCCAGCTTCTGTTCCATATCCTCGATAGGATTATACGGAACAGCTGCTGCATCTGTCTCTATTCAGTCCCATAGATCATCATCCAGGGACTTTCACTAATCATAAAAAGTTCCAGACAACATCAGCTGATAATGCTATCCTTCCCTCCCCCGCCCCCCGTCCCCCCGCGTGCCCCTGCGTACCCCCCACTCTGAGTGTCCATCCCCCCTCTGCATTGCCCCCCCACCCCCTCCTTTGCCCCGGCCTTCCTCCCTGGGGTTTGTCTTCGCTGACGATCTGCTCGCTGCTCGTTTCCGACGCCGTCCATCAGCACCTCTATTCGCTCTCTACGAGGTCTCCTCCAGTTCCCCCCCGCGTGCTGTTCATTGTGTTGGTCTGCTGAAGGCACACAACTGCCCTGTTCTGTGTCCTAGATAGGGCTGTTTTTCTCAGTGACAGAAGTAACGAGAGGGCGTCGTAATACAGGGCTAGCCAACTTATAGCTTTTTCTGGGATGGTCTTGTCGGGTTGCTATATGTACACTAACATCTCCTGCGAAAGGACAGTGTGTGGCCGTCCTACGATTTATGTGGTTCTCGTCGTTTCTTCCTCCTCGAGTTCCTTCCTTCAATCTTATCCACAGAAAGAACCAGCACAAAGCGTGCAGCTGGCCTTTTCTACCTACACAATCTTTACATATCTATCAGTACCTATGCACCACAGGGTCGGGCACTGTCTTAGCTGTCAGCCTGAATCCCGCCATTCACAGAGTTTACAGAGAATACAAATAGTAGTACTGTTTGTGACAAACACAATCCCTTCTGATAGGAGGCTGAGATATCGAAAAAAGGTGGTCACAGACAACGTACCAGGGCGATTGAGTGTCCGGTGCTGCTTAAGGGGCCAGAATGAGTGTTCAGGGACACCGTCCACAGTTGGCCGCTGCATGAATTGCAGGTAAAACATCGAAAATCTGTCTCCACCCCTCTTCTGCAGTGCTTGCTATAAGCATAATCTCTTCGATTGCAGCTTTATTCAGCAGTAGAATCTGCTCATCTCCAGGAGTGCGAACATGAACCAGTTCTTTCTTCATGTTCTCGATCAGAGAATGCAGTGACTCTCGATGTCTCCCCAGAGATTCTGAAAGACAATCACCCAAGCTATGCTGTTTTTCCTTGTGGCTCATAAGATTGACTTGCTGCACCTCCTCCGTTCTACTTGCAGTCGTCCCATTCGATGTACACCTCGAAGCACCACCCTGTATCTCCTCCTCTGCCACGACAAACGTCATCGTCTTACATTTTGAATCATCCATTGTTCTGGCACTGCACTCTTCTTCTTCTTCTTCTTCCTGAACGCTTTCAACGATGCCATTTCCGTTGCTCGTGCCATTGCACTTCTTCGTGCGTTTTTCCCTCAGCATTGCACCATCTCCATCCGGTGCCTGCCTTTGGCTACAAAAAACACCCCCATCTGTTGCCTGCCGTTTGCTAGAAAAACCACCCCCATCGGTTGCCTGCCCTTTGCTAGAAAACACAAAGTCCCCCGGAGCACATTCTTCCGCTTCCGCATCCTCTGGAGGGTTTCCAGGAGGGAGGCATTCACTAGTGATGTCATCATGACCATCTACTACTGAGCTGCTTCCGCCAATATCACCCACCTGTGCCTCGTTATCTCCATCTTTGCACTTCTCATATGCACCCATACGTTCGATGACATCCTTTCTGCTATTCGAATGATTGTTCACGGCATCTCTTTCGACAATGTCCCCGGTGAGCGTTCCTCCTCCTTGATGGACCTCCTCCACCACCTCCATACCTTCTCCTCTTGACTCCATCAGAACTGCTGGGGCGCGGCTTGTCTCCTCCTTGTTGGCCGCTTCTTGCTTCTGGTCACCACATGAAAGCTCCTCCTTCTGAAGCCCATTGCCCACAGAGACCAAGGCGGCTGACCCAACTGCTGCGGGGGAACCCTTCGCGTGGCCCATCCGACTCACTGGATCCTCTCTGATATTAATGGCTTCTCTACTCATGAGCAGAACCTCGTCTGTCAACTGTTTGATCACTGCAATCTTACCAGCTATGACATGTTCAATGGTGGCCCTGTTTGAGTTTGGTCCTACTGAGGCCCCCAAGACGCCCTCCCCCTCTGTTCGATTCAGCTTTTGCTCTCTGAACGCTGGCTGCTCTGCTGCATCGGCTCTCTGATGGCATTCATCACCTCTGCCAGCGGCGTTGCGATCACTCCTGTCAATGGCACTTCCATGCTTTAAGTCATCCATCGGCGATTCTTGGATGCACTCCGAACCCGTTCTCTTGAGAGTTGCACATGGAGCACACTCCACCCTGTGACCGTCATGATGTTCATCGCAATTACTCGCGAGCGCGGAGCAGCAAGGCACACCCTGTACGGGTTGGGCAGAAACGTCAGAGCAATGATGGCATCCGGTAAGGTTGTCACAGCATGGTGTTGGCGCCCCAATGGAAGCAGCTCTGTTGCATTCGGTGGAAGACGATGGGCCCCTTTGGTCCGATGAAACACAAATGACTGCATGTCCTCCTTGTATGGCTTCTATTTCGGAATTGGCATTATTAGCTGCTGCTTTAAAGCAGCTACTTACAGGAGATGCCACAGGCTCATTGCCTCCCCCTCTTTGGGAAGGATTTGACTTAGAAATATCGGCTGGCCACTGGTGACGTGCATCGGTGACCTCGCTCTTGACACCAATACCTCCATGTTGATCGCTCTCCAGACAAAGCTGCCCCACTGCACGACTTGTCGTTGAACTCCGTCCACCAGAAGCAACAGCAGCAGCAGAGACAACAGGAGGGTGGCCAGCCGAAGCAGTAGCAGGAGCAGTGGCAGTAGCAGCAGGAACAGGAGCAACAGTAGCAGTGGCACGAGCCGAAGGATCTTCCTGGTTAGCAACGAGTCCCGCGTTCATCCGAAGCAACTCGTGAGGAAGCGCTCGATCCAAACCACTCAGAGGAACGCGATCGATTCCATAGCTGGAGGATGTTTGCAGGAAATCCGCTGACACTCCGTCTCTTTTTTTGCTCTTCAATCGCGCAACATGCGAGTGCCACTCATTCAGATGCTTCATCTTTGAGCGGCCTTTGTGTTGCAACTCCCTTTCCAATCTGCAATGAACAGGACCTCTATGACTGGACGTGTGACTGGCACGCCTTTTTCCGCGACCTGATGAAGATGGTGGCAGTTGTGACGGTGATAGTGATGTTGATGATGATGACAATGATGGCGCTAATGGGGATGGGGATGCCGGGAACATTTCGTACCCGTGCCTGTCCCTGGCCAAGTGCCTCGTCAAATCATCATCCCTCCAGTTCAACTTTTGGCATTTGTGTCGTTGGCTGCACAGGACTTCAACCTCCACAGCCTTTCGGCGGTGATACGATGGTGGTCCTTTTGCTGGCGGGTAGCTCGAGCACGATGATGAATGCAACCTAGATTTTCTGCGTTTCGACGGTGACTGTGTGCATGCTTGCCCTCCATACACGGATCGCGGTGAGAAGTGGGTTCTCCATGGCATACCACAGCAGGCGTTCATCTTCTGGCTGTCATGCCAACCACTGTGTTCTCTTTCTCTTTTCCTTTTCACACCCGCTGTGCTATGGTTCACATCCTGGGGTTGCAGTCGATTGCCCGGAAACGGAGCATGCTCCCCTGCAAACCGCTTGTCCACTTCATCTTCCATATTTGACCCTCCAATCACTGGCGAATCATCCTCGTCTGTCTCCGTTTCAAAATCAGCATCATACTGCAACTTCTTATGCCATCCCCGTGCTTTTCCACAATAGCTTAGCGTTGCTCGTCTTGAGCTGCAGTGAGAGCACCTGATGTGCTCTGCTGAAGCTGACCTCATCCAATACTCTTGCTGCAAAGAATCGCTGGGCACCTTTCTAGCAGCAGAAGACACCCAAGGCCTGTGCCTGCCTTCTGTAGTCCTGAAGTGTGCAGGGTTTCCAGGATGAAGGCTGTCAGCAGTGTGTGACCTACATCGGGCATCCTGACCACGTCCCTTACAAGAATACTCTGCCGTCCTCATGGGCAAGTCGTGTGGTTCCTTCTCTGATGTGCTGGACATGGCCGAATCAGAAGGTCTCTCCGAGGTGGAGTGACCAGCAGCACATTGGTTCTCCGCTCCGTCCTGCATAGGTACATTGCCTCCATCGCCTCCATCCTCATGGTCCCGCCGCGAATGCCGCTGATCCTCACGCACATCTTCGTTCTCATCCTGAGGTGGACCCCCTCCTTGATCTGCAGGTAACAAGATTGCTGCCTCGTGTCGTGAAACAGACCGAGATGGTGAGACCACCGTGGTATCCTTGCATGCTGGAATTTCTTTTACGCCCTCCCGCGATCCTCCTCTTGGGCTACTCAATAGAACTGGTTCAGCAGCGCCTCCGCCCTCTGCTTCCTCCTGTGCCACGGCTTTGACCTGCTCTGGCGCATCAACCCCTGCGCCCTTTGCCCTCGACTGCCCGCAGACACTTCCTTCCAACTTTGCTGAGGGAGTTGGAAGGGAGCACACGGGGCCTGGTTTGATGTCCAACGCCGGCGAATGACATCCACTTCTCTCCTTGTTCCTAGTATGCATCTTTTCCTGCTCATCAGCATGATCATCCTGATGTTTGACAACCACTCGCTCATTCCCGCGTGCAATGTGATTTTCACCGCCTTTTTCTACGCGAGAACGACTCTGTGCATCTACACGTCCCTTCTCGCCTCCAAGCTCTTTTAATCTCACCTCTGCATAGTCGGATGTGTCACCTATTTCCTTGCCTGCCTTTGATGGTCCAGAGACGTTACGGCGTTTCGCAATCACTGTCATGCTTGTGGCACAAGGTGTAATGTTCACGGATGCTGATGCGTTCTCCGGTCCCTCTACCCGAATTACTTCTTCGCTTTGGCCGATCAACTTACACCCCGGATTTCCTTCACCCATGCTTGATCTGCTTCCGACCGCTCTTTGCTCTCTGGAATCCGCTTCGTCGTCATGGGCCAGGTTTCCTTCCTTACCTCCCTTTCCTCCAGACTCCTGCCCACCAAGGTCAGTCGACTGTATATCCACAACTTCAAGTGCGACAGTCCCACTGGCTGTCTGTCGCTCGTTCGCACCACCTCCGATCTCATCAGACAGTATTCCAGCTCCTCTTGGTCTTGCTCTGCCACTTCTCTGTTCCTTCCTCCTCAGGTCTCTTCCAGTCCTTGTGTGCCCCCTATCCTTTTCTCTGTAACCTAGATGGAGACCCACTGGTAATCCTCTTTGCACTCTTCTTCGAATACTTGTGGTGGAAGCTCTTCGCTCTTCTGCTGATTTGTTTGGCACATCAGTTTTCAATCTCTCCCGCGCAAACGCTCTCTGCTCACGTGCAGTTGGAAGGGCCACTTGTTGCTGCCGCTCATTCGCCTTCTTGAGCTCAGAGGGGGAACGACATCTAGAACCTGATGATGACCTGAGGTCCACAAAGCAGAGACTGGCTCTTGCTGCTTCTTTCCCCTTCTGCGCTGGTGCAGATGGACCGTTGCCGTCACCTTCCTCCTCAGGCACGGGTGTGGAACACACATCATGAGTAGCCAACCGTTGTGACCCCTGCCTCGGCGTGCTGCGATACTCAGTACCCGGATTAAGTACGATGGACACCCAATTGCTGGGAAGTTTCAATCCTAGCATGTTAAACAGTTCAAACCATCCCTCCAGTGATTTTGACGAGCAGGTGGGATGCTCTTTGTAATACCGGCGGAAGAGCTCGTTACAGGTACAACTGGTTGCAGCAGCATCCGTGACCAACAAGGGATCCAGCCTTCGACTCTGATTGGATCCTTGACTCTGGTCGCCATTCGGCTGTGTTGCTGATTTTTCCTTGTTCTCATCACCGTTCGTCCGAAAACAGAACGGCCCACACGATTTATCGTAGCCCGGATAAATCCAATGGTTAGCGCTTGGTCTGTAGAATCTGATTGTTGGACGGCTGCCCTCAACAACCTTGTTAAGCAGTTCCACCCAGTTCGGTCTGTGTCCGGGGGGCACAGCCTTCACTAAACCAGGCGACCACACTGATGTGGCTTTGCTGCGCAGCATCATGTCGCTGCCACCGATGTCTTCCTCCTGTTGTCTGGCTGTGGCAAGCGCAGCGTCGCTTGCCTGACCCTGGCTAGACGACCTGTTTTCACATGGAGTGACCGTCATGCCCGCTTGATCACCGGCTTCCTCCCAATGTGCTCTTCGCGTCTCATCCTTTCTTCCACTCTGCCTAGAGTTTCGCAGAAGACGCTTTTCCACTTCATGTGTTTTGTGCCCAATCAGTCGACAGTGTGCACTCTTGTCACCGGAAGGCCCACATTCCCTTGTCTTCTCACTTGAGGGGCGACGGCTTCCGGTGGCGTTTGGTGCTGCAGGCAGCTTGTGCCCCGGCAACTGAGGTATTCGAGGTACGCGCATGTTGAAGGGAGGGAGGGAGGGAGGGAGGAAGGAAGAGACGCAACAAGACTACCACTGCGACTGCATAACCATAAATATGGAGACTGCTATCAAAACCAGATCACTCTGGGATGCCACAGGGAACAGGCCGATCATTCATTAAACGGGCAATTGAGGTCGCCACCATATCAAGGCAGGGACTATGAATATGCAAGTCAAGATGGCAATGAAAGGGAGAGAAGCCGTGCGAATGTAGAGTAGAAAAAGGTTACGTCAAGCGAGGATGAATGGTCAAACCACAGCAACAAGGAAGATGTAGACCCTCCTTTACAAGCTGCAGATTACTATGAAGTTATGAACTGCTCTAGACTCCAAGCACCAAGGCCTCTCCTGCACTGAATCTTATGTTGGTTCGTGGGGATCATACGTCCTTAAATGGGAATGCTGCTCCAGTTTATCCACGAGCAAGTTCAAACGAAGGACGGATGAGCACTTATGCTGTATAAATCCCAGAAAATGAGCTCATACGAAGAGAAGAATACCTGGAAGCCCCACACAGGAAGGATCATCAGTACCACGCACAATGTGAAACGCCGAAGAAGAAAAAACGTACGAGTATCAGTCCTACATGGGATACCATGAAGATGAACATTGACACCGTCGCCCACAGTTGGCGGAAGTTCCAAGACGGAAAGAGAAGAGCACATGCGGCACGACAATACACACGTAGACTTGCCTCAAGAGCAAAGGACACTTAAGAGAGAAGGACTAAGGACACTTGATAGAGAAGGGCACTCGAGAGAGAAGGACACTCGAGTACTGGGCATTCTTGCTGCACCTTCCCTGGAAAAATAATTGCCTTCATCGTCTCTTGGTACTGCCAACTTCCACACCAGCATCATCAACCAACCCCAGAATTACATTCAAGTTTGTCTTTAGTTGATAATAACGTAAGACCACACAAAGACCGCAATAAGTGTATAATACGACTCCGGCCCACCAGGGGAGCCGCGAAGGAGTTGTAGTTGAAAATGCCACGGGTTTCTGCATTGTAAAATGCAAGTATATCTGCGTGGTCCATCGGGATCATAATTCTCAGAAGAACAGCTCCGAACTATCAAAGTCAAACAAGTTCACAATCTTAACCTCGAAAGATCCACCCAGACTCAGATACACATCACAGCAGACATCCCCCCCTACCCTAACAGCTTTGCATTGAACAGCAAGACGGACAAACCAAGACTGAAGAAGAGGATCGTGTTATCTCATCTCCATGACTGGTACGCATATACACCTGTACATAAACAGACCATCATCTCAAAATCTGTTGATGTAATACCAACAGCGCCAACACGGAATATTAACCTTTCAAAAGTCAAAAACAGACAAAAGAAAAAGAGACAGAGGTCGGAGAGGGAAAAGAAAAAGAAACGATTCTGGATGGCACTTCGGCTGATTGACAACTTCTGCGACGAGTTTTTCAATGATGAGATGCTGTTTCTCATTCCTACGGTCTTTTTTTTTTTTTTTTTTCCCCTCCCCTTTGTTTAGTCATTACCTCAAATCTATTGCAACTTTTGGGATGACTTCTTCAATGCTGTCATAAAGCTCTCTTTGTCTGTCTGTCTATCTGTCTGTCTGTCTGTCTGTCTGTCTGTCTGTCTGTCTGTCTGTCTGTCTGTCTCTCTCTCTCTCTCTCTCTCTCTCTCTC